GCTCCGCGGCAGCGGCACCGGGGCTCGGGACCGGGCGCGGGGAACCGGGGGAGGGACCGGGGCAAAACTGCCCCCCACCCCCGGCGGCCAGCGATGCAGCCCCCGGAGCCGGGTCGGGCCGGCGGAGGTGAGTACCAAGACCCGGCTTGTTTTATTTTATCCCCCCACAAAAGCCGTCCGCCCCGTCCCCAGCCCCCTATTCCATCAACCTAGTCTTTCCCTGCGGTTGTTCCCCACAGCCGGGCAGGGAGGCAGGCGGTCCCTCGCCCCCCGCCCGGTCCCCCCATCCCCTTGTCACCGCGTCCTAGATGTCAGCACTGAATTTAGGATGCCTGCATCCATCCATCCATCCATCCATCGATCCATCCATCCATCCATCCATCCATCCATCCATCCATCCATCCATTCATTCACCCATTCATCCATCCACCCATTCATCCAGCACCAACCCCGAGTGCTCAGCCACCCCTTATTTTCCTTTCCCCATCTTCCACCTCGCTCTTAAAATCGCCTCTAATTCCATAGGACACCCACTTCACGCTAGTGCTGCACTGCAGCCCGAAAAAGGTTTAGTCCAGCAAAGTTTTGGGGTTAATATCGCACATTTGGGGCAATCTCGTTCCAGTCTTTGCTATCGCTCCTGCTAACGAAGCTGGTTCATGTGGGTGCATCTGATGCCGACTGGCTGGAGAATCTTGCCCCCAGTCCCGCTGCTTTCTTGCCTCTCCCAGAGGCTCCTTCCCCTGTGTCCCTGAGCTGCAAAGCCGCCCAGCACCTTCCTAAAGCCCCGCTGGAAACGTGTTGCCCAAATCCTGCACCCCGGGCAGGGTCATAGGGGCTGGAGGGGGCTTTCCTGCGTTCAGGAGCCTTGGAGAACCCGGCAGTCCCGGTGGCTGGGAAAAGCACCTCGGCTGGCGAGCTGAGTGCCGGCACCGGCACAGGGATGGGGGGGGGGGGGGGGATGCTCCAGCTGCCCATCACGCAGCGGCTTTGCGGGGCTTTCTCAGAGCAGGGCTGACCTGCAGGCAGTTAGGCTGAGCCTTAGAGCTAAAATGTGCCTTTTCTTGCCTTAGAATTGCAGGTTGGGTTTTCCTGGAGGCAGTCCCGTCACCACTGCAGGTGCTCCCGGCATCCTCCCGCGTCCCCCTGCCTGCGTAAGGCTGGGGAAACCCGAGGGTGGGAGCTGCCCAGCCCTGCTCGCTGTCAAATCCCTAGTGACAAAATTCCATCCCCCACTCCGTCAGAAGCTCCCAGATAATGATCAGAGTCATATTGTTGTTGCTTTGTATGTTAAACTGAGGGCAAGGTTTCCTCCGCCCCAGTCCCTCTCCCTCAGGTACTGCAGGCTTGCCAGGGAGAATATGATTTTTGGGAATCTCAAACTGTAAACCTTGGAAGCACAAGGAGAAGCAGCAGCAGCCACCCGGGGGCAGGGATGCTCCCAGGCCAGCCGCCACATGGATACAGCTTCCCATAAGGCCAGAGCACTGAAATGTCAAGATGTGGATTTATTTCCTTGCTTTATCCCTGGAAAAAAAAAAAAGCCCATGTGATCAGGATGCATTCTGGGCTGTTCTAATAATGAGGAATTAGAGTTATATAAATAAGAATGATTAAAAAAACTAATGATGTAAAATTATGATTCAGCTGATGTGCTGCAGTACCCTGAGCTGCGCAACTTGCTGGGGCACTGAGATGATCCAGGCAGAACATGCCCCAGCCAGGCTGGGCATTGGAATAAACATGAAACCCCACCTCTGAGGGCATTAAGAAATGAAGGGAATAATTGCTTTACCCTCTCCCAGCTTCATTTTCCTGCCTTCCCTCCCCCAGGCCCTTCCAGTGGCACCTGGTGGCCAAATGGCACTGCAAGCTACAGCCACCTCCTGAGGGAGAACTACACCTTCCTGGCCTACTACCAGCATTCCTCCCCCGTGGCCCTCATGTTCATCCTGGCCTACACCTTCATCTTCCTCATGTGCGTGGTCGGCAACATCCTGGTGTGCTTCGTGGTGGTGAAGAACCGCCAGATGCGGACGGTCACCAACATGTTCCTCCTCAACCTGGCCATCAGCGACCTGCTGGTGGGCATCTTCTGCATGCCCACCACCTTGGTGGACAACCTCATCACAGGTGAGTGGGCAGCGGAGGGGAGAGACACAAGACAGGGGGAGAAAGTGTGTAGGGGGGGAAGGAACATCACCCATTCACCATCTGCCCCCCCCCCATGCACAAGGCCGAGCCCTGGGGTGGTGTTTTTGGTGAGGATGAGGAGGGCAGGTGGTAGCCATTCAAACACACCTGAGGAAAGGTGTAATTTCATTTAGAGCTACTATTTTAGGGGGAAAACATCCTTTTTTTTACTATTATTTGAGGTTTTGACCATTTTTGGCAAAATAACCTTAATGCTGCCTTTGAATATTTATTTAAAGTTCAGCCCTTCTTCATCAAGCAACCCTGACAAAAAACTCTCTTCTTCCTCCATCCATCTTCTTCAGTGATGGCTCAGCTGTGCCTGTTGACCTTTCCAAAGATAAGGGGTGACATTTGTCAGAGTTCAGCCACAGTGGCAGCTGGGCCACAGGGCAGAGTTTATATTTATTGACTATGGGGCGGGATATGTTTATTGCCTTGGCACTGGGGTCAAGAAACAAGATGAAAGTCCTTCTTATCGAGGATCCCAAGGTAGGACCCCGTGACAACAGCTCAAGCCCTAGATAAGGATAGGAGAAATGGCAGCCACCATCTTCCCTGAGTTTCTAAGAGTGTAATATGCATCTTTTTTTTAACAATTTTTTTTTTTTTTTTTTTTTTTTTTTTTTTTTTTTTTTTTTTTTTTTTTTTTTTTTTTTCTCCAAGCATCTGTGCTGTTTGGATAATGTCCATATGAGCTCCCCTTTAGGAGCAGGGTTTAGCATCCCCCAGCAACAACACAGTCGATGGGGACATCTAAAGGCATCTGGCCAAGCCAAAAGCACCTACAGCCTTCATGGTGTCCCCTCACAGGTTGGCCCTTTGACAACACCATGTGCAAAATGAGCGGCCTGGTGCAGGGCATGTCCGTCTCTGCCTCCGTGTTCACACTGGTGGCCATCGCCGTGGAGAGGTACGTTGGCATGGGAACGTGGGAATGTGGGGACCAACTGTCTCCAGCAGGTTCAGGTGTCCTGTGTGGTTTCCATCGTGGGAAAGCTCCTGGGGATGGCAGGAGCGTGTCCCAGCTCTCCGTGAGGACCACTAAGCTGTCCATGGGGCATTCCAGCAAGCTGTCCTTCCCAAACGCCAAAGCTGGAGACTACCCCAACCTACCCCTACCCCCAAAAGAGTTATGTAAAGAGCAACCCACCTCACCCTCCCTTTACACCCCCGGGTCCCAGCCACCCTCCTTCCCCAGGCATGTCCCAGCAGCTGCCCAAAGCCACTGCCATCTGCCCTCCCACAGATTTCGCTGCATCGTCCACCCATTCCGGCAGAAGCTGACGCTGAGGAAAGCCCTGCTGACCATCGCCATCATCTGGGTGCTGGCCCTGCTCATCATGTGCCCCGCTGCCATCACCCTGACCGTCACCAGGGAGGAGCACCACTTCATGGTGGACACCTACAACAACTCCTACCCTCTCTACTCCTGCTGGGAGGCCTGGCCCGAGACGGGGATGCGGAGGATCTACACCGCCGTCCTCTTCTCCCACATCTACGTGGCCCCGCTCGCCCTCATCGTCGTCATGTACGCCCGCATCGCCTTCAAGCTCTTCAAGTCGGTGGCGCCTGCCCGTGGCCAGGAGGAGCCGGAGGGGAGGAGGATCTCCCGCAGGAAGGCCAAGGTCATCAACATGCTCATCATCGTGGCCCTCTTCTTCACCGTCTCCTGGCTGCCCCTCTGGACGCTGATGCTGCTGATCGACTACGGGCAGCTGAACGAGGGCCAGCTCCGCCTGGTCACTGTCTACGTGTACCCCTTCGCCCACTGGCTGGCCTTCTTCAACAGCAGCGCCAACCCCATCATCTACGGTTACTTCAACGAGAACTTCCGACGGGGCTTCCAGGAGGTCTTCAGGAGCCCCCTGTGCTCGCTCCGGTGCCGCCGCTGCGGGCCCTGCACCCCCCGGAGCCACAGCCACGGGACCTTCCTGGGCGCTCGCAACCGCGTCTTCACGCGGGCCCCGACCAGCGACTCGCCCCCCGCCTCCGAGTCGGGCCCGCTGGCCCCACGCCGTGCCAGGGCCCCTGCCTGGGACGGCTGAGCGGCCTCCGGACTGGGGGCTCGTGGGATGGGCAGAAGGGATTTGGCCCCTCATGGGCCACAGGTCACCGAAATAAAGGCACGTCCCACCGATGCCATGTCCCTGCCTTGGCTCCTCCGCTGTCTCTCCACAGCACCGTCCTGCGGGCCCCACCTGAGGCCCCTGGTACCCTGTGCTCTGTCAGCACCCCCTTCACACAGCTCCAGTCCAGCCATGGGGCCACGGAGTGGCTCCAGGCAGGGAGCAGGGAGCAGGGAGGGAGAACAGGCTGTCCTGTGCCATGCTTGGAGAGAACCGTGCAGGCCTCTGGTGGCCCACGCCAGGCTGTGCTGGCCCAAGCCGCACCATCACGGCCATGCTGCACCACGCCATACCACAGCGTTGTGGCCGTCCCAGTCCGGACCGAGCCACGGCGGGCTGGCTGGACCGGGCCGTGTTGTGCTGGATCAAATCATGCCACGCTGGACCAATCCACGCCACGCTGGATCCTACCCCGCTATCACAGCCGTGCCAGACCGTGCCAAAGCACGCTGCTGCGGCCACGGTGGACCAAGCCACCCCGATCTCTTGCGGCCGCGCTGGCCCGTGCCACCCCACGCTGCTGTGGCCGCGCTAGCCCAATCCACGCTGTTACGGCCACGCCACGCCGTGCCGTGCCGTGCCATGCCATCCCCGTCCCATCCCGCTCCATCCCGTTCCCGCCGCGTGGCGCGGGGCGGGCCCGGCCGGCCCGGCGGCGCCTGCGCAGTGCGCGGGCCGGGGGGCGGCGCAGGCGCGGAGCGGCCGCAGCGATGTCGGGGTTCAGCGTGGAGGAGCGCGCCGCGCCCCACAGCGCCGAGTACCGGCTCTTCTTCAGTGAGTGCCGCCGGCCGCGCCCACCCAGCCCCCGCCGGGCCGCGGGCGAGCCTGCCGGGCACCCCTTCGGCCTCGCCCGCATCCCTCCCCTGCGCGCCCGGTTGGGTCCTGCCCGCGCGTCGCTCAGCATCTCACTCACCTTTCCACTCCCCCCCCCCCCCCCCCCCCCCCCCCCCCCCCCCCCCCCCCCCCCCCCCCCCCCCCCCCCCCCCTCCCCGCTTCTCCCTTTGCCTTGCAGAGGATGCCGCCGGGCGGTACATCTCCCCCTTCCACGATATACCCATCTACGCGGACGCCGGGAAGGTAAGGGGGGGGTCCCGAAACGCCCAGGGGATCAAGGAGGTCCCGGAACGCCCAGGTCGTCCTGAAATACCCAGGGGGGTCCTGAAACACCCAGGGAAGAGGGGGGGTCCTGACATACCCAGGGGGGGCTGAAATACCCAGTGGATCAGCGGGTCCTGAAATACCCAGGGATCAGCGGGTCCTGAAACATCCAGGCATCGGGGGTCGTGAAAAATCAAGGAGATCAGGGAGTCCTGAAGTACCCGGGGGGTCCTGAAACATCCAGGGAGTCCTGAAACATCCAGGGAACAGGGGGCCCTGAAAAACTCAGGTGTTGGGTGAAAAAACCCCAGGAGATCAGGGGATCCTAGAACTCCCAGGGGGTCCTGAAATACCCAGAGCATCTTGAAACACCCAGAGAACTGGGGGTCTGAAGTATCCAGGGGGTGCTGAAACACCCAGGGATCAGTGGGTACCGAAACACCCAGGGGGTCCTGAAACATCCAGAGGATCCTGAAACACCCAGGGATCAGGGTGGAACACCCAGGGGAGGGTCCCAGCTCCCCACACTGCAGGAGCACCTAAGGGAGGCATCGCCTGACTGTGCAGGGAGTGGGTTTCTTGCTGCCCTGGCCTCGGGTGGAGCGACCCAGGAGAAGAGAATGGATGATCTCATTCTCGTTTTTGCATCTGAGACGTGAGTGGTTGGCTTGAGCTTACCCATAAAGGGGGTTTGGGTTAAAAAAAGCGGTTTTCTGTTCAGCTGTAATATCTGCATCCACTCCTATGGGTGCTGCGTATTTCAGGCTTGGGCTTCGACTGCAGTGCAGCCACTTCATGCCTGCAGTATAATCCAACACTGAACAGAGGGTAAGGATGTTGAATTCCTGGTTTAGCATCTCCTGGGACCTCGTGCCTCTCAGAACCTGCACCGTGCAGTGCTGTGGGGCTGTCACATCCCTCCAGCAGCCAGCTGTGAGTCAAATTAGGCTGCTCTGAACCAAAAAAGCCCAGCTCCAGGAAGCCAAAACGGTTGTGATTCATTTTTCTCTGTGAATGCGTATTCACTGCTACCTCGAGCTCTCTGACTGTGTTCCTTGCTGTTGCAGCTCATCTCTTCTTCTAATATATATTAAAAAGCTGTTCAGCTTGAGAAATGTAGTGGATGAGCTAATAATGTTCATTAGACAGAGGTGTCATTCAGAAGTGTAGAGTGGTTCTGGGAAAGGAAAGGAATATTCAGAGCTGAGAGATGAACCTCTAAAAAAAAAAAGCAGCCGATTGAGCTACTTGAGGTGAGAGGTGATGGAGCTACCTGAGGTGCCCCGGGAAGTCTGAGGTGGCTTTTGCCTGCTCAGAAGGGAATGATGGCCTGTGGTCATCAAGGACAGAGGTGAAGCGGTTCCTGTGGCCGAGTGGGGAAGCAGTTTTCGGTGCAGGTGTCTGGAAGGTAACTCAGACGAGGCAAATCCGGATAATCCAGTGCTTTGCGGATGCTTGCGGAGCAGGGGAGGAAGGAGCAGGGGAGCGGGCACAGGGATGGGGAGGATTTCCGTGGGCTGGTAATGCTTAACAGGGGAAACCAAGCTACTGGCGTTCCCTGAGGCGCGCAGGGCTGCTGCCAGCACCTCTGTGCCAAGTCATTCAGAGAAAACAGTCCCAGGCGCTGAAGGTCGCAGTCCCCGAAGTTGCACAATGGTTGCTGATCACATCAGGCCTCCCTCTGTGGCTCTGAGGTTTAACTCATTACTGAGCAGGTGGGTTGCCAGCCCTGTTGTGGAGCCCAGCTGGGAGCAAAAGGTTGTCTCACTCTGTCTGGGCTCCTTGATCTTTATCCTCGGACTCCTAAGACGCTGAGAGGATTGCAGGGTGTTTTTTCCGGTCTGGGGCTGGGGTGTGTTGGTCTTATCTGTACCTGCATGCCTTGGAACGACCTTGGGCTGCTCGCTGAGTGTCTCAGGCCGAGGCAGCTCTGTCGGTTGGAACTCCAAGCCTTACAGAGATGCAGCTCCATGTCACCTTTCCTTGCCTGCAGAGCCTTTCCACGTCACCTTTTCCCACCCTGCCCAGCCTGATCCGACTGCCTTGCTCCTTTCTTCGAGTTAGGAGTAAAAGTAGGGCGTACCTTCTTTGCAAAATGCAGATGAGCAGTGACCCCTGCAATTAAGGCGGTGTAATAAACCTCTGCTAGGGGCAGGGTGTGGGCAAAGTCAGTGATGCAGCAGTGCTTGTTGCACAATATCGGTCTAATTATGGCGCAAAGCTCAGGTTTGAGGGACTTTGCCGTGCTAATACGGCTTAAGGTGGGGATTAGAAACCTTTGTCCAGGTTAGGGAGCAAGGTTTGACCTTTTGTTAAAAAGCCATCATCTCTTCAAAACAGCAGATGTTAAGGTACAGGTGTGGAAAAGCTTTTCTGGAAGAGGAGGCTGACAATGAGCTCTCAAGAGGCCTCTCAGCCCAACAGGATCAACAAGGAGGTGTTTTCAAGCATCACCTGTAAACTAAATACTGCAAGAAAATGTGGTTCTGCATTTCTCCTCCCACACCTTTGTCCTCACACCATGCCACTAACGAGGTCTTCTTTTATAGGAGAGTCAGCTTGGAGAGAGGGCATCCTTCCCTACATCCTGACAGATATTTGGGAGCGATGTCCTCTGTCATTCGGGGCAGTACATAGATACCCACACTATTAAGTAGGTGGCTTGTTCCTGTCAGTCTTATCTTTCCTAGACAGCCAGAGCGACCCTTGCTGGAACATGAAGCACTTTGTACTTAATAAATATGCCCCAAAGCTCATTTTGTTGTGTCTAGGATAGTTTGTGTGCAGTTGTCTTCAGTTCATTTAACCTGCTGTTCTGTAACCTAGGAATGTGATGGGAATGTTTGTAGGTGGCAGCTGATGGAGAATGTGTGGGTAACCTGGAGAATGTGTGGGTAACCTCAGTCTGGCCTTTGCTGGGGTCTTTTCTGGGATTCAGCTTTGAGTGATAATGTTTGACTTAGTGGGAAAAAAAAAAAAAAAAACAACGCAGGAAAGGACTTAGGGTTTCATGGGACCTGGCTGCTATGTGTTTCCTAATTTAAAGTGTGGTCTTGCTTCCCACTCACTGGTGTTTTGCTTTCTTCAGAATGTGTTCAACATGGTTGTGGAAGTACCTCGATGGACAAATGCTAAAATGGAGGTAACTACGTTACAGTTCCTAGCAAAGGGGCTTGAGCTGACTAAGTCTTAACCTTTGGCTTTGCTGATTCCCTCCTTCTCAATCCCACCTCCAGAATCAGAGTGGTTTCTAACTTCTCCTGTCAGTACTTGCTCAATGCTAGAGGTTTGGTGCGGAGGCTGAGATTGCAGAAGTTCGCCTGGGTATTCCTCTGTGGCCTCTGGTTAAAGCAGCATTTTATGTCTCTTAATCCCATGTGATTCTGATGCTTGGGGAGTCTGCTGAAAACTATATCCCAGGATATGCAACAGGAAAACGGAGCTGTCCAGTTTCTGCTGTTGGCTTCAGGGTCAGCTCCTGGTCTCTTGGCTTGTCAGTTCCATTAAAAAAAATAAAAAAAACCACTTGTTTTTTTTTCATAGAGAGCAAAGCAGAGGGATTTACGCAACTTTTCTTTCAGATTGCAACGAAGGAACCCTTAAACCCAATTAAGCAAGATGTGAAGAAAGGAAAACTGCGCTACGTAGCCAATGTGTTTCCCCACAAGGGCTACATCTGGAATTACGGTGCTATCCCTCAGGTAACTGTGATCCATCCTAGTGGCTCATCCATTCTGGTGGGGAGGAGGGAGGATGCCTGTTATTGCCACTGTATTAAGGAACAAAAAAGGTCAGCAAAGAGTCTGACCTGGAACGTGGCATTTGCAGCTGATATATAATCCTGCTAACGGAGAGAACCTGTCAGGAGAGCAGGGGTCTTTTTAAGCAAGAAATCCCAAGAGCTGGGCTTCTAGCTGATGTTATAAACGAGCCATCAGAGGATGAGCAGCTGCTGATAATGAGGTGCCTGCTGTGCTGCTCCTCTCCTTGGCTGGACAGTAGCTGGAAGGTCCTTGGGCGAAGGAAGCTGTCACCGTGCATCTGGCAATGCAAGGCACTCAGTTCCTGCCTGGTGGAGCACAAAGAGCTCGAGTTTTATCCTAGTGGTACAGGATTTAGGCTGAATCTTGCAGGAAGATTCTTCTTGCCAACACCCACCACTGCACAGATGTGCTTTCTCAGAAGCCACTGGCAAGGTGGGACCGACGGATAGGGACATGTGGACACGTGTTCTTAACTGGCTGGGGACTGCTAGATAAAGGGGGACTTGGAGGAAGGCTGTTTGCCCCTGATGTTCTCCAAGGCTGGGGTTTCCTTCAGAGAAATAAACTGGCAGTGTCAGATCACAGGGAAACACTCTGAATTTGGCAGTTCTAGTCTTGATAGCAGCGCGTGCCGAGCGCTGTCCCTACGTGACTTAACACAGGCTGCCAAACTCGAGTTGTTTTCTGCTCAGATGGATTCTGGAGCCCATTTCTTTGTGCAGAGTTGCATTTTTCGAAGCCTTTGCTCTAGGGGATCAAAGCTGTTTATGCATCAGGAGCTTAACACTTCCTTACAGAGGTGTGTGGTAGTGCTTGTGAACGGTCCTTCAGCACCACCCAGGTGTCACTGCAGCTTCCTGGAACACTCTGGATCCATCCATCACGAGGTCTTTACCGTGCTAGTCCTGTCCTGGCATGCAGAGGTTTGGGAAAGGCATTCCTTCTTTTTATATCTCAACACCTTGGAGGTAGATGCCCCTTATGATGCAACTGGGCATGGAGGTATTTTGCTCCTGATCAGGATCTGTTGTTTTTGGAGTCAAAATGCCTTCTGCAGTCCTGTCTTTCAGTTTACACTGACCACTGTGGGTGAGATGGGACACTGGGTAGCACAGGGTGTGGGGCTCTGCATTCTTATCATTTTAATTGTTTAATTAAAAGGAAACAATACACCCTGTCTGTCTTCCATCTCTGCTGGACTGCTATCTGGAGTTCAGGAAACTTCTGTTAAGAAATGAATAGGGAGAGGAACAGGCAGGCAGCCAAATCAACGCGTGTTCTTTATAGACGTGAACTTCACCTTTAGGCAGCTGTGGAACAGAGGAGGAAGTCTGGAAAGCTGTTGAAAAAAGCTTTGTTGAAAGATTTGTCGGTAGGAGGGAGCAGCTGACCCTTGGCAAGATAAGATCTTTTAACTGGGATTCAGACTTAGCAGGGGCAAGTGAAAAAGTAGCCCAACCACCAGTCCTGAAAGCAAGTGTGAAGTGGGCCATCATCTGTATCTTCCAGGCAACTGCACGCCTGAAACAAACCTGCTTTTTGTTTGGAAGTTCTTAGTCGCAGGTGTGGTTGACTGTTCATGTTGGTTTTTTTCAGACGTGGGAAGACCCAGGTCACAAGGATGAAAACACTGGCTGCTGTGGAGATAACGATCCCATCGATGTGTGCGAAATTGGAAGCAAGGTAATGCATTCTAAAGGGTAACTGTCTTCTGAAACGTGCTATTAATGCCTCCAGAGTCAATTAGCCAGAGACATTATTCATTTCCTACCTCCTCCACCTTAAGGATGTGATCTCTCCCTCGGCTGCCTCTGGAGATTGTTGTTGTTGAGATGAGCCAGGGCTTATGAGCTGCTGATAAGCAAGACCTAATTTTGTGGTACCCCACTGTTTGCTGAGCTCTTGCACGGCCTCCTGTCGTGCATTCCTTGGATACACCAGCAAGGACACCAAGGTCTTTTGCCCTTGCAGGTCTGCTCCCGGGGAGAAGTCATCAGAGTGAAGGTGCTGGGCACGCTGGCGCTGATTGATGAGGGAGAGACAGACTGGAAGATAATTGCTATCAACGTGGAAGACCCAGAAGCAGACAGCTATAACGGTGAGTTACAGGAGGAAGGAGCAGGATTAGTGCTTCCCTTTCTCCCAGGAGAGCCTGTGGGAGACTTCCAAGAGCCAGGACACAGGCTTGCTCCTTCTGTGGCACGGGATTAATGAGGTGTGGAGCTTTAGGGGCAGCAGAACACAGTGTTATCAGGCCTACAGCAAAACATTTCACTGCTGTTTGCCACGTGTTGCCAGTCCCCTGCGTAGCCTGGCATTCTGAAGCAGAGTGTGGCTGTCCAGCCTCTCCTCCGGGTCTCTGATCGCAGCTAAATGTGTCCATGCTCCTGGGGACAGTCAGGATGAAACCCTGACTTCCCTGTGCAGACACGCACAGCCTTAGGGCTGCTTGAGGAGGGGGCTGAAAGGGGGAAACAGCTCAGAGCAAATGGGTAGAGCTAAGTAAAAAGGTATTAACTGTTTCTGGCTAACAAAAATCCTCACCTAGATATCAATGATGTCAGAAGGATGAAGCCTGGATACTTAGAAGCCACGGTGGACTGGTTCAGAAGATACAAAGTACCCGATGGAAAGCCAGAAAACCAGTTTGCTTTTAACGGGGAATTTAAAGACAAGGTAGGATCACCTGTCTTCCTGCAAAGGCACGCTGTCCACACTGAGCTCAGGGTGTGTGGGGACACGAGTGAGTGATGGGTGAGAGAGCAGATTTTTACGGAGCTGCTGATAGCTGGCTTCAGTCATCCTGCGGTTTTTCCAGCCTACCACTCTGCTTGTTTCCAGCTTGCAGGAATACAGGTTTATTTGCTCCTGCTCTGGAGCAAAAGCAGCTTGACACCAACCACCCTCTGCTTCCCTTGCTCACTGGCTTTGTTCCACTGCGACCTGGTGCAAGTTAAACTTAACTCAGGAGTTAAAGCACTTCTTCCTTCGGGCGTGAAATGTTCCCTCACGCCCTCTGAGTAAGGCTCTGCCTTGGCAGCACTATCCCCTGGGTTGGATCAGATCCTCTGCTGCTCCTGAGTGGGTGAAATCTTGCTTCTGTGCCCTCCCTACTCCTGCTGCCTGTCCTGGTGTGCCTGGAGGGGGTTACTGGGGTAACTCAACTCCTAGAGCTCCAGACTTGGTGCAGAGGAGGGGAACTCCTCCACAGCACTGTCTGGGAAAGAAAACAGAAGTCACAAAGGGCTTGTCCCTTTTGGCTGTAGCACAGCATTAGCTTGGTTGGGCTGGGACGTCCCGCTGCCCCTCAGGATGGGTGCAGCCAGAATCAAGGGAACAGGAAAATCGGGATAAAGAACCTCACACGTGTTCTGCAGTGTTTTACTTGGCTCTGTAGGGTATCAAACCAGGATATTTATTGCTGGTGTTCGTGCTAACAAGGAACTGTATGTGCTTCCTTCTCTAGCTGGCAGGCTAATGCTTGAGCATATACTACTCATTCTTAAGGAGAGAAGCTGATATGCTTGGAAACAAATTCATTTTTAAGCAGTTGCAGAGCTTGATTAGCTGCGTGTCTCTTCCTGTTGGCCTGAATTACTTGTCTGGAGTGGAGGAGAGCTCCTGGATAGGTCTGGATCAGCAGCTGCTGGAGGCAAACTGAGTGGGAGGAGCAGTGAGGTGGAGGTGCTTTTATGATGGAGCAGCACTGGCCCGAGACTGGAATATCTGTGTTCAGTTTCTCTTGGCCTCCAGCTCGCTCGGTGACCTTGTTGTATCCTCCCATCTCGAAAGCAAAACAATTCTCCTTGTAAAATGCTGGTTGTTTCAGCTGTGGCACACTGGGAGGTTGCTGCTCTTCCTGAACAGCCCAGTGACAGAGGAGGTGTCTTTCAGCCTCTTCCACAGTCAGAACTATCTACAATCAGCCTATAAATACTGCTCCCTGTGACTGACAGTCTGGAGGAAATGGTCTAGTGCTGCCACGTAACGTGGTGTTTGTTCTCATCTCCACCCTCAGGCTTTTGCTGTGAACGTCATCGAGGGCACCCACGAGCACTGGAAAGCTTTAATAGCAAAGAAAACCGACGGGGGGGAGATCAACTGGTAGGTGCATGCTCAGGGTACTGTGCACCTTTCTTTTTGCCTGGACAAACAACCCCAGAACTCCCTTTCCTGAGTGGTGCCATGCCCTCTGTCAGCTGCTGGCTGTCCCCTCTAGGCCTTCTGCCTCCAACTGGCAGCTTTAACAATAATCCTTAATATTCCATTATTTAATTCTCCCGGGGTGGGGACTGGGCTTGGACGTTCTCACAAGGCCCCTCTCTCTTCTAGCACGAACCTGACGGTGTCTGACAGCCCCTTCTGCTGCGGCCAGGACTGTGCAAAAGCTACTGTGGATGCAGTGAGTACAAACTGGAGCGTCCAAACATCAGGAAAAATGGGACAATCTGTGTGAACCGCCCTCTCTGTGTGAATGGCTCATGGCATGCTCAGAATTTTTGGGGTGACTGAACGCAGCACCTGTGCCCCGTCAAACGGGGTGGGGGGTGGAGCAAGCCAGGCGTTCCTCCAGAGGCTTCTCCTTGCCATTAGTCATCCGGGAGATGGAATCCCAAACAGAGTTTGTGTGAAGGGCTGAACTTCTGAACCACCAGCTTGGCTGTCAGCTGTTCGGAGAGCGGATAAATATTTGGCCTTCCAAGAGCTTCACAAGCAGGTCTCTCTTTGAGAAAAGAGAGGGCGATTCCCCAGAGCCTTGCAACCAGGGACTTTGCATCCTTTGGGATGGAAAGCTTGGTGTTCCCTGTGTAGTACTCCTGTCCAGCCTCGGGAATTAATTGCATCTCCGTAGGCTTGTGAAATTCTGTTGGCAACCTGAAAGGGCTTAGAGGAATGGGACAGGAAAATCAAAATACAAATCTTGCCTCGGTGTATGGAAACATTACTGGAAACCCGAGAAACTCTCTGTAGCCTCCGAGAGACTTTTAAAAACCATCACCTTTGTTTTTAAAGTGCTGGTATCCTCTGGTGGCATCCTAATTAATTTACGTGGTTTTGGAAGCGCAGCCCTTGTGGAGGGAGTGTCACCAGCCAGGGATCCTTCTCTGGCTTTGGTTGTTAAAAGCTCTTCAGAGGAGAGTTTTCCCAGTGCTTTGCGCTTCTACTCCCCCATCACGTTGTAGGTTTATGAAAAATGCAGCTGCCTGCACCTGTGGAGATGCTGGAGTGGTAACTGCTCATGGTGGGAAGCAGATGGCACTGCAGCCTGTGCTTGGAGCAGAGCACCTCTGGCACGTGGGGCATCTCTGGAATGGGGAGGCTGCGGGGATGGCAGGATGCTGCTCAGTTATTCCCTCAACAGCTGATCAGCGCTGGCTGCCACAGGATCTTAAATGGTGCTCATGGGAAGACTTGTGCAGCCCTGAGTGGTGTGTGGGGAGCTCGGGGTGTAAGGGCAGCCTGGGTCAGCAGCTGCTCTCTGGTAACAAACACCCTTCTTGTTTCAGGCACCGCCAGGCAAAGCTGCCAACCCGATCCCACCCGAAGGTGAGTCTCAAAACCCGCCTGTACATCCCAATGCAGAACTGGGGCTTCCTCAGAGGAATTATCAGGAGGAAAACGGGGGTCTCAAGTGAAATCTGGACATTGCTGTAGCCAGGGCAAGGCCCAAGGGCCGAGCTAAGGAGGGTGTTGAGAGCCCACCGCTGCGTGGCAGGAAGAGGAGCCAGGCTGTCACTTCCAATCCCTTCCTGGGGAATAAACCTGTGGGAAAATGGGTGTCTTGGGAGTCCCAGGTGAAAAGGGTCAGCTGAGCCAGCTCTGGCTTGCTGTCCTTGCCTGAACTGAGTCATGGGTGCTCCTAAGGGCAGCCTGAACGTGGGTGACTCCTTTGGGAAAACAAATCCATGTAAACAGGGCTGTGCAGGAACCTGTTTGCCGTGCTGTGGAGCTGTTGGCAGGAGCGGGAAGAAGCCCCTGAGCTGGGGGTGACACACACACAGAGTGCCACGTGACTCCTTAAGAACCAGGTGGCTCACAGAGGACTAACCCCGCTCCTTTTTTTTTTTTTTTCTGCCCTACACAGTTGACAAGTGGTTCTACTACGAGAAAAACTAAGTTCTGAGGATGGCGGTGAGGCAGCCGCGTCCTCCCCACCGGGGAGCTGCCACGTGCAGGAGTAGCCCAGAACAAAAAATAGCTTCAGTGTCCACCAGGAGACCTTGCCTGTAACTTTGCTGATTAGAATTACGCACCTAGCAGTGACGTGCCGGCTGTGCTGGGGTCTGGTGAAGGCTAGAAGACATAATTTATGAAATCAAAACACCCTGCTTGCGCGTGGTCGTGCGGTGTGCTCTAAAAATCATGGCGGGAGATCACTCAACCCGGTACGTGTATGGATGCTAGAAATAAAAAAAACTACTGAATCCAACTGCCGTGGGCGTTCCCCCTCCTTCCCCTCCCTGGGGCCGAGGGGTCACAAAGCCATTTAGGTTGGAAGAGAAATCAGGGTTGGAAGAGGAGCCCAGCTTTGAGAGGTCACCGACTAGACCAGAGCACCGAGTGCCACATCCAGTGGTTCACGTGGACACCTCCGGGGACGGTGCCTCTGCCACCTCCCCAGGCAGCCCCTCCCAGTGTTTAAAACCGCTCTTTCTCTGAAAAAAAAAAATTCCTGATGTCCCACCTAAAACCTCGAGACCACATCCTCTTGTCCTGACCTCTGGGGGCTGTGATGGGTGGGGAGGGTGGGTGGTTTATGGGGTGTCACAGTGGCGTGTTCCTCGAAGAGGGTGGGGTGGCAGGGGAGTCTCGGAGCCGGGTTCCCCCCCGCCCCCGATGTGGGAGGGGTCTCGAACCCGCGTCCCCGGTGGCGCCGCGGAGCCAGCGGGGCCGGAAGCGGGCGGGGCGGCGCTGACGCGTTTCCGTGGGGCGCTGGCGGCGGCCGCGGACGGGGCTGTGTGGCGGCGGCCCGGGGGCAGCCGGGGGTGAGCGGCGGCCGAGGGCGGCGGCGAGGGGGGCGGCGAGGGAGCCGGCCGGGCGCGGGGAGGGGGCCCGGCGGGGCGGCGGGGCCGGGCGCGGGGCGGCGGCGGCGGCGGCGCGGGGGGTGACACGCAGGCAGGGCGGGGGCGGGGCGGGGGCCAGGCCGCGCCGCCCGCCCTTGAGGCCGGAGCGCCCCTCGCACCCCCCGGGCCCGGCTCGTTCCTTGTGCCCCTGCCCCGATCCTCCTGAGCCCCCGATCCTCCGCGCCCCCGGCCCTCCATCACCCCCATTACCCCCCCCACCACCACCACCACTCACTTCGTAACTCGGGCGTTTTGGGGGTTTTTCTTCTCCCCGCGTCCCGCAGGCGATTCATCTCCAGCGATGTCTTTCATCTTCGAATGGCTCTACAACGGCTTCAGCAGCGTCCTGCAGTTCTTAGGTAATGCCACGGTGTCCCCCACCCCGCACCGTGCCTCGGCTGCCCCCGGGTCGGTTTGGCTTCTCCCGGTGCCCACATCCCTCCCAAAATTAGGGATTGGGGGGGCTAAAGTGGAGCTCTGGACAGGGTAGAGTGTGGTGGGGAGGCTGCACAGCAATAAAGGGTTTTTTTTACGCTAATGGGGAGAAACTCTGGGAGCGTTTGGAGCCATTTGGCCCCTGCTGTGTGTTTGTCTTGCCCTTTAGAAGCACAGGGGCAGCTGGGTCTGCTCAACCCCAGGCAGAGGAAGCTCCATCCTCCGCCTGCCGGGGCTCCAGCGGAATTCCCTGCCGAAGGATGGGGTGCCTGCTGTCCCCAGCACCCCTGGGAGGGAGGGGTGAGAGGGGTGGGATGGGAAGAAGTCCCATTGGAAACCTGAGGGAGCTTTCCTGCGGCCAAAATCAGCTCATCCCAAGGGAACTACACACTCTGCCCTGCTTTGCCCCTTTTCTCCCGAGCAGCTCGCTGCTGTATTTTATGAGTTTGTTCAATTTTCACATCCAGAATACCCTGCTGAGGCAGCAGACAGCCCATAATACTTTGCTGCACACTCTTCTTCTGGGATGTGGCGGGGGGGAAAGGAATGGAATATTCACAGAAGTGGAAGCTTAGGGAATGCCCCTTGCTGTAAATACGGCCATGCTTTGGCTTGGGAAATGCCTGCGTGTGTTTTCCCTGCTGGAAGCGTGCACAGGTGGCAGCAGAGCTCTGGGAGAAGGGCTTCCCTAAAAACAGCAGCGTTCCGGCTCCGGGTGAGCCCGCTGGAGCTTTCCCCTTGCCTTGTTCCTCTTCCTCGCAGGTCTGTACAAGAAGTCTGGAAAGCTGGTGTTCCTGGGGCTGGATAATGCAGGGAAAACCACTCTGCTGCACATGCTCAAAGATGACAGGCTGGGTCAGCACGTCCCCACGCTACATCCCAGTAAGTCTCTCTGGGAAAAGCCTCCCGGCGCAGCTTTTCCTCTGGAACTTTGGGGACGCGGTGTTGGAAGGCACCTTGGTGGCCTGAACTCTGCCCTTGGGGCTTTGAGGGTCTCAGAACCTCAGCTGAGTTTGCAGCTGCCCGAGTTGAAGCGGATTTGTGCTTTCCTCTCAAGGATGAAACACCCAGGAACTGGTGTGGTTTGATCAGCAGGGTTTTCTCATGGAGAAGGAGAATTTTCCTGATGAAAAGCACAATAAAGGATGGTCGTTGCAGATTAAAAGGCTTCAGTGGGAGGCCGGAGAAATCCTTTTCTCCCGCACATGATTTTATTGAACAGGTCCATTTCGGTCACTGAGTTCTGCAGGAAATCCAGGGAATTCCCTGTTGGAGGAGCGTATGCGATGCCAAGGCGAATCCCCAAGGAATTCTTGGGGTGACAGCTTCTTCATTTTCCTGAATCCCTGGCTTTTCCCTTTTTTCAGCATCAGAGGAGCTGACGATTGCTGGAATGACCTTCACGACTTTTGATCTTGGTGGACATGAACAAGGTAAGAAAAAACCACCAAAAATTTATACTGACAAGGATCAGCAATTGACAGTGCCTAATTATTCACTGCCTGGGCTTATTTATGGAGCAACGCATGGAAAGAACCTCCTGGCTGTGGGATTGTTTGGAAGGAAGCAGTGCCAGTTTGTGCTCTGTTGTGCCTGAAGTATTTTTAGGTGTGGGGGACTCCAATATGAATTTATTTTGAATTGCTGAACTGTCAGAGTTTCTAGAAGTTTTAAACAGGGGTTTTCTGCCCTTTTCCCTTTTTTTTATAACGCACAAAAAAAGCACAGTGTTCTCACGGGGCTTTGTTTGTCCCTCTGTGTTCCAGCTCGCCGGGTCTGGAAGAACTACCTGCCTGCCATCAACGGGATTGTCTTCCTGGTGGACTGTGCAGATCACTCACGGCTTATGGAATCCAAAGTTGAGCTCAATGTAAACATGCTTCTCTTTTTTTTCCCCCCTTTCCCAAGACCTAAATTTCAAATAATAGTCCTTTCTTTTGGGCTGGAACTTGTGCAAAGTGTGATTTGAGAGTCTAATGCTTTGGATTGGCACTTCCAGTGAGAAGCCTGGATGCCCTTACTCTGGGTGGAGCACAGGCTCCTGAGTTTGGGGGAGGTTTGGGTTGGGCATCAGGAGGGATTTCTTGCTGGAAAGGGTGGGCAGACACTGGAAGGGGCTGCCCGGGGAGGTGGTGGAATCCCCATCCCTGGAGGTGTCCAAGGAATGACTTCACGTGGCACTCAGCGCTCTGGGCTGGGCTCAGGTTGGACTCGGTGGGCTGGGAGGTCTTTTCCAACCTAAATGACTCTGTGAGTCCTCCCCAGGAGCGTGGAAGCAGCAAAAAAACAGCCCTTGTTGGTCACAGAGCTTAAACAAAACCATCTTCTTCCAGCAACAACTCTTTTTACTGCCTCTGCTCAACTCCTGCTCCCTCTTGCCTGCAGGCCCTTATGACAGACGAGACAATATCCAACGTGCCAATCCTTATCCTGGGTAACAAAATCGACAGACCCGAGGCCATCAGTGAGGAGAAACTGCGGGAGATCTTTGGGCTCTATGGACAGACCACAGGAAAGGTAGGGAGGCATCCAGGCCTTGGATCTGGAGGTGAGGGCTCGCCTGTTTTCCTTGCAGAGTGAGGCTCCATCCAGAAACTAATTCAGCTCCCACTGGGAGTTTGTCCACAGGATTCTCTCAATAGTAATGATGGTGGTTCATTCCCGTGCCTGAAGGGGGCCTACAGGAAACATGCAGAGAGACTATTTACCAGGGCCTGGAGTGACAGGACAAGGGGGAATGGCTTCCCACGGCCAGAGGACAGGGTCCGATGGGATATTGGGAAGGAATTCTTCCCTGGGAGGGTGGGCAGGCCCTGGCACAGGTTGCCCAGGGAAGCTGTGGCTGCCCCTGGATCCCTGGAAGTGTCCAAGGCCAGGTTGGACGGGGCTTGGAGCAACCTGAACTAGTGGAAGGTGCCCATGCCCATAGCAGGGAGATGCACCAAGGTGGCCTTTAAGATCCCTTCCATCCCAAACCATTCCAGGATTGGACGCCCTCGGGCAAGTTCTGAAGCTGCCAGAACTGTGCAAAACACAGCGGGGGGCTGCAAGAGGGGCGTCCCTGGATGGTGGTGGCTCCCTGAGGGCTCCAGGGGCGCGGCTCTGACTCCTGTTTGGATTTCCCCAGGGAAACGTGCCCCTGAAGGACCTGAACGCGCGCCCCATGGAGGTGTTCATGTGCAGCGTGCTCAAGAGGCAAGGCTACGGCGAGGGCTTCCGCTGGCTATCGCAGTACATTGACTGACACGAGAGTTCGGCTCCTCTGGACTGATCCCGTTCACAGCTTCCTATGGACTTTTCTATTAGAACACGGAAGGCTTTCCAACCGCATTGACCAAGAGACTCCTTGGTTTTTCCGGCTGCCCTTATGGCACAGTGGTGACACCACTCTTTTCCACGCGGCGGGGGGAGGCAGCGCCGTTCCGCAGGAGTTGTCCCTGTCGGCTCAGTTGGCAGCGGGGCTGCTCCGGTCTGGGAAGTCAAAACTCTGCACGCTGCACTGTAACAGCTGAAAAAGAGAGCACGTCTCACCACTGTGGTTTCAATTGACTTCAAAAACAAACAAACAAAAAACAAAAAGGAAAAAAAAAAAAACGAAAAGGAAAAAGCAATTATATTTTTTAAAGAAAAAAAGTGTTAATGTAAACGGCGTCCCTCCTAACTTTTTAGTTTAACGTTCATCTTGTTTAGTCCAGAGTCTGGTTTAGGGTTTTTTAAAAATATATTTAACGGTATTTAGGTATTTCACGAATTACTGAACCAAGGTATCACGATATTAGAAGTCCTCAATAAACATAGCATTTGGGCTTAACTGAGCTGTAGGGTGGCTGTGCTGTGTCACGCTGACCGACGACGACGACGACAACGTGCCGTTGGGACCGAGGTGTGCAATCCCAGCTTCTTTAGTTTACAGGGATTTTTATTCTTTT